GATCAATCGTTGGGGCCCATCGGCAGCAAGGTAGACACAGTGGGTGCCGAGGGAGACGAGGCCAGTTTGTTTGCCTGATTGCCAGCGGGATGAGGATATAGACATTCCGATAGGATGTCAGGGAGTGCAGGTTCAWGGATATTGGTTCATGAAATGCGAGTCCCGAGACAGCTGCGGGGTATTTATCTGGAGGCTCGGTCAGCCTCTTATCTGTTCTCATCGTTCTTAACTTTCTCTGTGGTATGGCCCGCCAGTAGTTAATGGATTCTATTCGCTGGTCTCTCTTTGTGCATTACTGTATCTGCTTGGGCAGCTAAATYCCACTAAAAACTACCATAGCTGTCTCTGGCACCATTATACTTACAACATTTGGGTTTGAGACTACCCCATATGAACACACTCAGTTCAATCCATTCTTAATGCAAAACTTATCGTACTCCAATCTCCTGCAATAAATACACTTTGTGCATAATGGCATTGACTCAGCATGTCTCCCTCCTATATGTCATGATAAAGACTGCGGGTAGGACCTATCGGCAAGGGGGCAGTATATGTCAGGAAGGGGGTGTGCCCATTTTTAGTTGGGTCCCAAAACCCATTCATTCTCCTCACGGTGGTGTTAATTCTACCATCGTAATGGCGCTAGGCCGGGGAACGGCCGCCGTCTCTTGGGTCGGCACAAGTATCCCGTTAGCATCAACCGCCCAGACCTGCACTTCGTTGCTCACAGAAACCGCGACGTAGAAAAAGCGGCCATCGGGACTAAATGTGCAACCCTTGGGCGAAATCCCATTGATATTGGCAGTCTGAATGCGGCGTAGGCGACCGGACACCTCGTCTACGGCAAAAGCACTGACAACGTTGTGGCCGCGAACGAGTGTGTAGACATATTTTCCGGTGGGATGGACACGGAGATCCGACAGCAAGACACCGGAACCCCCGTTCAGGTTCTCTGGAAGAACGTCCACTGTTCCTAAAGATTCATAGTCACCGCCCACCCTGTAAAGGAATGCCTCAATTACTGGTCGATACTCAAAATTGACGTAGAAAACGGGCAGCGTGGGGTGGAAGGCTGAGTACCGTGGGCCACTGCCATGCGGGACGTCACGAATACCCTGCAGGTGTAGTGAATGTAAGCCATAATCAATTGTCATCGTAACAAGCTGGTCTTTCTCCATGTCACACTCGATGAGAAAGGATCCATCGGGTGATAGTGAGACAGAATGCAGGCATGAGGGCTTGCTCTGATGACCCGAGGTTGTATGGAAGTGGACATGGGATGGCTGATCCGAGCAACCGGTGGCATCGAGAGTGAATAGGACTGTTGTGGCATCGTCGTAACGGCACTCGATGTGATACCCTGACTGGGCATCACCGGCGATGGTGGTGATGCCGGTCCGACTCGTGAAATGGGAAACAATTACCATATCTTCGGTATCGACGAGAGCGATTCCCGATGGTTGGGTGCCATAGCTGGGCCAGTGACCTCGCTCAGTCAAGCCGCCAGTTGATGGGTCCATTGAGAAGGCATAAATCTGGCCACCATTCGGTACTTCGTCCGTGACGTACAGCATGCCACGTTTGTAGTCAATGGCGAAACTGCCGACGTTCAGCCCGGGGACGTATGATGCCACCAATGTGAGTGCTCCCGTGCCATTGTCAACTCGGAAAACATGTAGGCCCTCATGCTTTCCCGGTTGAGGCATCACGAAGCTGCCGATGTACACATAGGTTGCGGTGGTTGAAGACACAGTATCCATTTTCGGAAGTCCTAGGAGAACGTAAGTCCAAGAGCCGTGGACAGCGTGACGCAGCTGAGATTGTTTTAATACCCACAAAATAAGTTTTACTACCTTCATATTATTTCTGGAAAGACTGATCGACACCTGACATTACGACTGCTCAGGGTAGGCGAGACGAGCAAGGGATGCCTTTCCTAAGGTCGGCTACCGGAAACCCTCGCCGCAGACTCTGGCCTTTACCGAGCCTCACCTGGCGGCACATTCATGGAAGACAGACACCATGGGTAACAGTCTGCGTGTGGCTGCACGTATGGCATGATACCCCACTAGCGATCATCCTTCAGCGCAAATTAGGAAATATGGATTATAACTACCCCGCGAATTCCCCGCAATCTGGGGAAGATTGGAGAGATGACCCTAGTTGCATCTCCACTTTGCCGATCCTCGCATTCCACAGCTCACTCTAACATGGAGACGAATCCTCCTCTGAATATCAAGACTGATGGCAGACCTAACCAGCATGAAGCGATGTTGTTAGAGCGTGCGCATGCTGCCAATGCCGCTGACCATGCTCTCACCTGGTGGAAAGCAATATTCAAGTACCGGAAAGCCGTCTTCTGGGCGTGCATTTTTTCGTTCACCCTGACTATGCAATCAGCTGATGCGACTTCAGTGAGTTTGATTATAGTGCGAGGAAGGCCTTGTTAGGTGGGGTGCTGACCAAAAACAAGACAACATCTTTCTACGGCCAGACCCAGTTCAAAGAGAGGTTTGGCACCGTGGACAATGGTGTCCTTGAAATATCAGCCGAGTGGCAAACGGGAATCCAGCAGGCAATGGCCGTGGGCGAGCTGATCGGTCTTGCAGTGGCTGGCTTTATGGCTGACCGATTTGGTTGGAAGCCAATCCTCAGTGGCATGATGGTCTGGCTTACCGGCAGTCTCTTCCTTTTTGCCTTTGCACAAAACCTGGGGATGATGGTAGCTGCCATGGTTCTTTGCGGTGATTTTTGATCCTTCTACTCCGTTGCAAAGAGATTAACGGCCAAGTTAGGGATCCCGTGGGGCGCTTTTCAAACAGGTTGCATTGCCTACTCTTCCGAGATGGTCCCAACTTGTCTTCGCCCTTTCGTCACGGCGTGGATAGGCATTTGCTGGGGACTTGGCTTCTTTATTGGCTCATTGGTCAACAGAGGCTGCCTGAACCTGATCGGCCAGTGGGGTAAGTATCCCCTACTATTATTCAATCAATTGGAGCTTCCAGTGACACAGATTTAACTTAGCCTGGCGTGTGCCCTTCCTTGTTCAGTTTGTGTGGCCCCTTCCCCTCCTCATCTGCTTCCTTTTGGCCCCGGAATCTCCATACTATCTAGTTCGCAGGGGTCGCTATGAGGACGCTCGCACGACCCTGCGCCGCATCCGGCAAAAGGATATAACGGACGAGGAGATTGAGCAGTCCATCGCCCTCATTGACTATACCAACAAGATGGAAGTTCAAATCAAAGATTCTAGTAGCTACGCAGAGTGCTTCCGGGGCAAAAATCGATGGCGGACAGAGATTGTAAGTGGCGATCGGTATGCTGAAGTACTTCAAGAGATGTTCACAATCAAAAGGTCTGTATAGTTCAGATAGCCCAAACCTGGGGCGGCAATGGCATCAATGTACAGACGGTTCAGTTTTTGGAGCAGGCAGGCCTTTCAGAGCAGGGCGCCTTCGATCTGAATTTGATTCTCAACTCTCAGTACCTCACATTTGGCCTGTTCTGCATTTGGCTGATGACGAAGTTTGGGCGAGCAACTATCTTCACCACAGGCCTCATCCTAAGTGACGTGTTCTTGTTTGCCATAGGGATTCTTGGTTGTGTCGAACAAAGCACGGCTGTCTCTAATGCGGTTGGTTCGCTTCTCCTCGTGTCCACTGTAATATATATTTCAACCGTCGCTCCGTCTTCATACACCATCATCGTGAGTCGCGCAGATACACATTTAGGGACGAGTGGTGACATAAAACAGGGCGAAGTGCCGTCGGGCAAACTCCGAGCTAAAATGGTCTCCCTCGCCCGAGTTGCCTTCAATGTCTCCAGTCTGATTTCAAATGTTCTACTTCCCAAGATGCTGACCGGTGGGTCTTGGAATCTCGGCGCTAAGACAGCCTTTATGTTTGTTAGTGTCCTTACCCCTGACCTTTCTCCTGCTGATTCCCGCTGATGTGGGTGATAAAGGCCGGTACGAACGCTTTGATTTGGATCTGGTGCATATTCCGTCTTCCCGAGACCAAAGATCGAACCTTCCGTGAAATTGATTACCTTTTTGAGGAGTCTGGGCTACACCCTCGCCAGTGGCGTACGGCTAGGATTGATGTTTTCGATGATGATAACAATGGCCCGAGCCTTGTTGTGGGCAATAAAGAGAAGGAAATTCAGCATATCGAGAATGCTCTGTAGGTAAGAAGGGCGGCAAAGGACACTTAAATGAACATGTGATTAGGGGTGAGAGGATGGTAACTTGTGGATAGGAATGATGTCAATTTGTGATTCTCCGCATCAGTGTCTGCAGTAGTGAGCTTGGTGTACGCAGGGAAGTCAGAATTGGACATTAGGCATAACAGCCGTAATCATACTTAGTTATGATCCAACAAAGTCACGCGATTACACTATATTCGTCTTTTTAAGCTGGAACGAATGTTATCACATTCTGTGATACTAGCGCCCAACGATGACAATTTTATACATACCTTTCATATTAATGTTGCTTCATACATTTCTATAGCATATGCAAAGGCGTCAGCTATGTTTTATTGTCTAATGGAAGGCAATTTGTCTTCTTAAATATAACCCCTTTTCAATGACGAGTTACGGCTTACAGCTGTAACTATCTGATCAGCAAGCGGAGTTGGTGACGTTATATGTTCGTAAAGCCGCGAGCAACACCTATGGAGAACTCAGTTGAATGTATCAATTATATAGACTATTCATATTAACAAATTTGTCTACCCGGGCTCGGTAGTAAGTCCTACGTGCGCTAGGCTATATAATTTGCGGATAACTGCGTCTACCAGGCCTTCTGAGATCGAACATAGCTTGTCCAGAACTGTTCGTTTTCTGGGTCCGTGGTTCGTATTGTCTGCCACTCCCCACCTAGCTCCAACAAAGTGTGGGGGTGGTCATTGAGGTTTGGCCAGCAAGCAACGCCTTCTGGACCCTTATTCTCCCCAGGAGGACCGTTTGGATTGCCGTGCTTGACAAAGTTGGCCCAAAGCGTGGACACCTTTTCGCCGACAATGCGATCGGTGTTGCTCCAGGGTCGGAGGTTATTGGTAGTGAGGCTGTTGAATGTGTATGCAAATTCCGCACCATGATAAGCCCCCGTAACAGGGCCTTTCTGGTTTGTAAATCCAGGAACCTTTGGCTGCGAGTAATCTGGCTGCCAGTTGTTCCAGGGGGGGATGGGATGGGTGAAGTAGTACCCGTACACGGGCGAGGCTGTTTTCTGATGATACTCCTGGGCCCAGAGCGCAATATTGTTGCGCGTGTTATCCCGAGCAGCCCTGTTCCACGCGTCCAGAGGACCCTTCCCGGTTTCATGGTCTGTGGGGGTGTAGAGTTCATGGAATCGTTTCACCCACTTCGAGTCCCCTTGACCGTATGTCGAATGCGGTCCAAAACGACTCTCAACACATTCAACAAAGTCATCGTACGTGAAGCGGGGCTCATTGTAGGTACCGCCCTCTTCGCTGTTCATGCCAGCTAGGATCGGGACGTCATTAGACGGACACTCTGCCAGCATCTGGTGCCAGGGCTTTGGGATGACATGTCCATCGAGGGTCAACCGAAATAGTGGCGGGGGGCCCCAGCAGCGATGATCTCTTCTGGTGGACAACTCGCACAGCTTGTCTATGTCATTGAATTCCCGGAGCTCTTCGATTGACTGCAACCCCAGCTCCCTGAGCAGCTGCACGCCATCCTCCTCTGCCTGCTGTAGGGTACGATATGACATGGGTCCATTAGCCACGGCCGGCTCCTGAAGTGACCGAGGTCCGGACTGCAGAATAACACCATGAAGGAGATTCCTCGCCAGAGGCGACACAAGTAGGGTGTGACACATGGCATTACCTGCCGACTGTCCTCCTATCGTCACTTGGTTGGGATTTCCCCCAAATGCTGCAATATTGGACTGCACCCAGCGAAGCACCTCGATCGCATCGAGCATGCCCATCATTCCGGACGTGCCTGACGCGGACTCGGCGCTCAGTTCTGGATGGGCGTAATAGCCGAAGATGGCTAGTAGTTTGAACGTCAGCACTCGCGTATAACTTCCTTATCCCAAGAAATATTCATGCGTGCACTTACAAAGTCGGAATGAAGGGACCACAACAATAAGGCCCTTCTTTGCTAGAGCCGTGCCATCAAAGTTAGGATCGGCACTGCCACCCTCCCGAAAGCCACCTCCATGGAACCAGACGAACACAGGATATGGCTTCTCATGCGCTTCACCGGGCTGGAACACGTTGAGGTAGAGACAATCCTCAGACTGTGGATGACCTTGGAGAACATTGATCCAGCGGGGGTCAGGGGGTGCCTGTGGACAGATGGGTCCGATCTGATGGCATTGCTTGACCCCATCCCATGGAAGTACAGGCTGTGGAGGCTGGAATCGACGGGGCCCAGTGGGCGGAGCGGCATAGGGGATCCCGAGGTAGAGGGTGATTGAGGCATCCACGTCACTTGTCTTGCCCTCAATCAGCCCTCCATTGACGACAACTGGCGGCAACGAGGAAGTCATGTTCATGTATGTATTCCTATCCTAAGGGAAGCGCAGTGATAGTAAAACAATAAAGACCCGGCTTGTACCTTTGACGCCGTCGTCTGACGGAAACTACACCTAGGAAGCCCCGTAATAAAAGTAAAGTGGGATTGTCTACTGAGCCAGACGCTCGGACGCACTGACCGGTTCCGAATCGCCAGACCAAGCTTTGATGTCCCCCGGACTAATTCCCCCGCACTTGATCGGATCTTATAAAGCTTCAGCCGACGCTCGCCTCTGCCATGTTTCAACATGTGTTCGTCCCCTCCCCTCTCTTAGTCGGGCAACGGTAAACAAGCTGAACTCACTCGCCTGCTTCCCGTTCACACCAAATCCCATTCAGAGCCTGTATTTTGTACACCAGCAGGTGAGAGAGCCGTCTGTCAGCTGCCGCTGGTCACGCTAATGCAACTCAACGAGACCTCCGATCCTGTTTCCGATACTTCTGTGCGAGTCATGCCAGAGCCATCCCAGAAGCGAAAGCGGGCCAAGACCGGTACGTTTCTCGCTACAGACCTGAGCATGACCCAGGCGGCCACTGATCCACCAGTTTATGTCGCACCCAGGTTGCTTGACCTGTCGTGCCCGCAAAGTCAAGTGCGACGAGACGCGGCCGCGGTGCAATCACTGCCGCAACCTCGGGGTGGAGTGCCGTTGGCCCGAACCCGCAACGAAGCGTTTCTGTCGCATCTCAACGCCGCCTTCCTGCAACACTCAGGGCCCTCAATCGATCGCCACGGGAGGGCCCCGATTGTCTGCATGCTTCCCTTGTCGTTATGCCCGCTCGAAATGCTCCAAAGATCGACCGACGTGCGCCCGCTGCCGTTCTCACGGACACGAATGCAAGTATCCCGAGCCCCAGGGGTCCCACGCCCTCACGTCCTCGGCGCAGTCCTGGATGAGGAGACTCCAAACGGCGGAGATGGGCAACTCCGCCGAACTCTCGCGTCCGGAGATCCTCACCAGCCTCACTAGCTCACCAGAGCCGGAGTCTGCACCAACACATCCCGAGATAACTGATGATCAACGGCCGGAAATGCCGGCAGGCGATGCCAGTCCCCCAGAGACGTCTGATAGGCTGGATGATGTTGTCTCCGCTCTTTGTGAGAGCCAGTCATCTCCAACACAAGCTGCAGCAGGTGCAGTGGTGACACTGAGCCCGCGCAGGAGCTTTCTTCCCAGCCAAGATAGTATTGAGCGTCTTGCGGTCGCCTTCTTCCGACACGTTCACGTCTACCGTGCCAACGCCTTCCTGCATCGGGATCAGACCCTGATGGCCATCCGTGACGGCACATTCTGTGTCCCGGTCGTCCTGGCCCTGTGTGCTGTCGGGGCGCGTTTCACCTCTCCGCCCCAGCCAGACGACGTGGTCATCAGCTGGGCCACCGAAGCGGCCAACTGGGTCACAACAGCGACCGAGGTCTCACGAGACCACGTTGTGGTCGCCCTTTTGCTTGCTATCTACATGCAGCAAGCTGGTCGATTTGCCCAATCTCACCTGTGGTCGGCCATTGCCAATACCCACGCCGTCAGTCTGGGTCTTCATCGCGAATCCGCACCCGGCACGTCTTCTTTTGTGGAAAGTGAACGCGACCGGCGCCTGTTTTTCGCCTGCTATGCCATTAGCCGTTTCATATCCAATGGCGCTCCCGAGTCAATCCAATGCCCTGCATCTCGTATCAAGTTGCGGCTGCCATGCGACGGCTTTAATTACCGCCTTGACGTGAGCATCGAGACGCCTTATGCGACCCTCGAGGCAGACGAGCCAGAGCCGCCCGGCCCAAACGGCATGCAGCGAAACGTTGGCGCCATGGGATTTTGGGTGCGACTGGTTAGCGTGAGGATGAAAATTAAGCGCTACTTCCATTCCATGACGGAGGACAGGGAAGAACGACACGCACATCAGCAACCCAGTGCCATTGGCACGACACTTGCCCCATGGGGCGCTTCCTCCCCATTCGTGGTGTGCTTGGCACAGTTGGCCTCCCTATCCGAGTCTTTGCCCCCCCGGCTTCAGCTCTCCCCCGAGTTGGTGCTTCGACAGCACGATGCTCCTGTTTTGGGCCAGATTGTCATGTTCTACCTCTGGTGGAATGAATGCCACCTTGAGCTTTATAGCATCGCTCTTCACGGATATCCCCAGTCCCTAGATTCTACCGTCATGTCAACCGCGCCAGCTGGCTGGATTGACCAGGCCCGTCATAACTGCTTGCGGCACGCCCAGGCTATCACGGATATTTTAGACCTTGTGGATCGGGAAATGCCTCGCCAGCCGCTGACCATCTCGGATCACACCATTGCGCACGTGGTTTATTTGTCCGTGCGGGTGCAATTAGAGCTCCTGATGCCGACACTCAAGGATAGCGGGATGCGTCTTGAATTAAAGAAAAGATTCGACATAATGCTGGGCTTTGTAGAAAGGACAAGTAAATATTTCCATCAGGTGTCCCTGGTCGTAAGTGCTTCCCCACGCTTCTGCTGTCAGGTGTTGAGAAGGCGCCGTAAAAAACCTGACGCTTTACATGCCCCAGCTCCACGAGATGCGCCGTATGTTGGCAGGGCCATGAGCTTGCCTCAGGAACCTTCGAGGGCGAGGATGCGTAAGTCAGGCAATCACGTCTGCCCAGTCGTCTTCGACCCCTCCCCCCCTCCCCCCGGTCTAGACAGCATCTAATACTGTGCCACTGCTGATGGTTCGATTAGATTATCTCAGACAGCATCTTTGCCTTGGTTCTGCCGTCAAAAAGCACTTGATTCCAGAAGAGCTGCCGAGCAAGCTGGTATAGTGAGTCTCAGCTCCTCCTGCCTGAAAAAAGGCCCGAGGCTTTGCTAACTCGTGGGACGCGTATCTCTCTATCAGAGCGCAGCGCATTTCGAAGCAAATCTCGCCGAACTTCTGCCTGATTGCATCCCACTTGGCACTATGTCCTGGATCCGGGGCTACGGCGTCAATGACCCTTGCCGACTTGTAGGTGCCCCTGACTTGAAAGGAGCTCTGCTGCTGCACCTGATCTCCTTATTGACAAATTTGCCTCTGTCTGTCTAGCCCGAAACAGCAGAATCATCATGGGATATTTTGCCCAATCTGTGGATGGGAGCCCCGCCCACGGGGCAAAGCACTAACAACCCTGTTACAGCCATGAGTGATTTTAGCAGCCTCGGTATCTTCAATACCTGGGGACGGATAGACCCCAACGGGACTGTGAGTTTCCTCCCATTAACATGTGTTACGCTGCAGGCGACAGGAAGAGCTGATGACATCAGCAGGGGTCTCGTTTTGATCCACTGCTTCCTAGTCACTCTTTCGCGCATCCAAGTGCAACGGGAACCTGTGGAACTTCAACAGTAATTTCTTCGGACGCTCCCTTTTCTTTGAACCCATTGAACACGTAGGCAATTCTGGACATTCAAGCGTGGATCTAGCAGCATGTGGGATCTCATTCAAATTAGAAGCTCTCTCTCTGGGAATTGCTTTGTTTTGTTTGCATGGAAGACCTGATTGACGGAGGGTTTCTATGGTGATGTGGAAAAGCACCCTTGCACCTCAGTAGGTCCCTTCTGGGGGGCGTCGTCACACTTAGTAGCGATTAAGGTCTCGACAAATGCAATACCATTGATTCTTAAATCTCTCTATCTACTTTGACAATATTCCCATTCTTGTATGTAAATGGTAGAGGCAAATTCCCGCGGTCATAGTTTCCATTTGGGTGGTCATAATGAGTAACAGTTGCTACAACCGGCACTGGCGCATAGACCAGAGAATAAGCAGCCTGTCCGAAAGGGTACCATCGTCTAAATCCTGTATGACTTATATACCCATTCAGGGACTCGGGTATTAAGGGGCAAAGCTTGCATTGGAGCCGACATGAAGTAAACCGTGACGTCAGCTGGCGACGGTCGCCTCTGGTTCTCTTCTAGATTGGACGGTGAATCTGCATTGAAGCTCAATCGTAGCCTCTTCAGTCTCGCTGCTGGTTGAAGTAGCGTTTATATAGTTCTTTTCTACTAATGCTAGCCGGCAGAGGAAAATGGGTTGAAGGGTGATCAGTTCCCCTTGAGACTATGGCAAGCGACCGGAAGTCAACCACAGTGATAACCGCCCCAGGCAACTGTGACAGCCTTGGGATACACCCTCATCCGTCACCTACTGACTATGATGTGACTGTTGTGCTTGGCCCTGTTGCGTCAACATACGACAAGAGCTCTTCAGACGAAAATCATGCCGACGGCGACAACCACATGCAGGGCCGGCATTCGGTGACAAAAGGGACAGGCAAAGAACTTCAGACGCAAACAAACCTACTTCCCATGAAGCAGTTGCTTGTGGTCTTCTCTGGGCTATCAGTAGCGATGCTATGTGAGTGAATACCGCTCCAACCTAGGGATGTCGGCGAGCTCACCTGACTGACTTGTACATAATTTCCACAGGCTCGATGCTCAACCAGACTATGTACGTTTGTTACATCCCTCCCATATCCGGGTATTTGTTTTTCCCGCCCTAACTTACGGACTCTCTGAAGCGTTGCAACTGCCCTGCCCACCCTTGGTGCTGTATTCAATCAAGCTGATATCGTTTCCTGGGTTGGTACAGCGTACCTCCTAACTTGTACGGCATGTCAACCACTATATGGCCGGTTGACGGACATCTTTGGCCGGAAGGTAAGTCTCCCAAATGCGGGAACTAAGCAGTCCTATCACTTATGCAGCATTTGACGGAGCATTAAACTTCAGGTGATTCTCTTGGGCTCGCTCTTCCTTTTCCTGATAGGAAGTGTCATTTCCGGTGTCTCGAGGGGCATGACCATGCTGATCATAGCGCGTGAGTCATGGTAACTGAATTGATCTCGCCGGCCTCCACGCTAATACCATTCAAACTCAGGGGCGGTAGCGGGAATCGGTGGTGGAGGCATTGTTACCGTGGTCAGTATCGTCGTGTCTGACGTCGTGTCTCTTCAGGACAGAGGGAAGTACCAAGGAATTATTGGAATCGTCGTGGCAGCCGGAACTGCCCTGGGCCCTTTGATTGGCGGTCTTTTCACCGAGAAGATTTCCTGGAGGTGGTGTTTTGTACGTTCTCTCCGGCATACCTGTTTTGGATGACCATCGCTAAGCGTTACCAGTACATCAGTGTGCCCTTATCCGGGGTTGCTATGGTCGTTGTTGCCTTTGCCCTACCCCTCCGGAAGGTTGAAGGCCATGCGTTAGAGAAGATCAAGCAGATTGACGGCTGGGGATGTTTGATCAGTTTCTCTGCGTCAATTGCGATCTTGCTTCCCATCTCATGGTATGCCCAACAGTTCTTCCACCCACCCTCAGTATGGTTCCTCCCGGGGTATAATAACCACTCGCAATTTATTAGGGCTGGCACCCAGTATTCTTGGACTTCGGCGGCTGTTATAGCGCCGCTTTTACTCGGTGTAGCGCTCATTGGAGTCTTTCTCTTTGTCGAGTTCAAAGTGGCCAGGTTGCCCTTGTAAGTTATGCCTTGGTTAACGAAGATCACCAGTTATTGCGTGTAACACTGACCCTTCCCTGCAGGATTCCACGTTAGTACTCGCCGCCTCTTCTACCATCGTTCGCCGTTGTTCTTGCATGGCTGATCTCTTCTCAGTGCATATGTTCAAAAACTCGCACGTCTCCATCTGTATCCTGACATCCTTCCTCACCGGATTCATGACTTTTGTTAACCTCTACTATGTTGGGTTTCCCCCAGGTCTTCTTCTATGTTTCCATCTCATACTAACATCCCGCCTCAGCTGCCTCAGTTTTATCAAGTCGCCCGGGGCGACTCCGCGCTCCGGTCGGGTATCCTGATTCTTCCACTTATCCTCTCGCAGATTGTCACATCATTTACCTCGGGCTTCCTGGTGTCGAAGTATTCATGTTATCGAATCAACCTAATTGTCGGTTATGCTCTTTGGACAATTGCGTCGGGGTTGTTCACGATGGTCACTCCATCAACGTCGGCAGCGGTACTGGTGGTCTTCCAGCTACTGACGGGGCTCGGCAGTGGGCAGACACTTCAGACAACCTTGGTTGCTATTCAAGCCGCAGTCAAGAGGGAAGAGATGGCGGTTATCACTGGTGCTCGTAATTATCTACGAATGATGGGCTCGACTTTGGCTGTTGCAGCCAGTGCGGCTATTGTCAACAACATTGTCCGGTGAGTGAAAATTCATTTGCGTTTACCCGAGCATCACTGCCTAGCTTTTCTGGTTTTCTTTCTCCCTTAGCACTTCGCTCCCAGGTAAGCTTTGTTGACAGGGTTTGATAGGACGAAGCTCGAAGCAATCAACTTTCCGCGATCAATCATTTCCGAAATCATCGCCGATCCCACAAAAATTGCCTCCATGTCACTATCCGCGGCACAAAAAACGGACGCACTAAATGCGTACGGTGCGTTGCCCCTCACCTCCATCGTGCTTTACCCACCTTCTTCATTTACATCCTAACCAACCATATGTCCAACGTCTTCTGTTTGGCGGACCGGCTCAATGACTAATTCTTTGCTGAGACAGCCCACGGAGTGCAGGTCACATATTATATGATGACTGCCCTAGCCGGCATTCAATTCTTTCTCTGCGTTTTCTTCGTCAAGGACTACACATTGAAGAGAGACGATGATCAACAGAAAAAGGAGGCTGCTAGAGCTTGGCTGATGCAAAAAAAGAACAAGAGGGCGGGCGGTAACCACAATGCAGAACCATCACCTGCTGAAGCCCGACAGCACGTTGAGGACAAGGTCTAAAGTTACTAGGGATATATGCCAGCGAATAGTATTCTGTCCAGGGCGCTGTTTTCCTGAAAGCATCTAAAATAATTCTATAGTTGGGTTCTACGACGTAATACTTGTCAAATCAAGTGACATTTTGAACCATTTCATTCTATCATCTTTCCGGTTAAGAATTGGAGTACCTTTATGTTATTACCGCAATCAAAAACCAACATGCTTGTTTTTTGACGTAAACAGTTCATATAGCTCTAAACTTAACAAATGATTTGATGCAGTTATATCTGATGATGTTACTAATTAAAAGTACGTAGCCTGATGCGCTGATCACCGACAGTGTCACGGAGGAAATCCTCGTACGACTTGCACGCGACAACAAAGTGGTATTGCATGACATGCTTCATTCATAGTGAAGTGCTTCTAAATGCTTGTAGACGATAAGGTAGTATAATTTCAAGACTAAGGTACTATACTACTCAAAATAGAAGGGCCCAGCACGCCCTAGGATCAGGCCTCAATAACCTTTGCCCGTGCGTTCCACCAGAACTGGAGACCTTCGTTGTTCAGGCCGCCCAGGACATGCTCTGCGGTGTGGGGAGCTCCCGGGACAATAGCTTTCATATATGGCACGCCCAGAGCATCCAAGCTGGTCCACATGTGCTCGTGTGCTTCACGTAGTCTAATGTCCTCGCCGCCAATGAGCAGCCGCAGCTCCGGCTTGTCGCGATGGACCCGAGGGAGGATGGCCTTCAGCAGCGTGAGAGCATGATTAGAAGTGAAAAAGGCCTGCGAGCCGTTGTAAGTGTCGTAGGTGACCTCGAGGCCTTCCTTGGCTAATTCGGTTCGGAATGAGCCAGCAAGCGACGACAAGGCGCCTCCGAAAACATCGGGATACTTGAGACCGAGGTTGAAGGCACCATAACTGGTCAACTGTCTTTAGTAAAAGAAACGTTCTACGGGTGTTCAGCCACCTACCCGCCCGCTGAGTGACCCTCTAGCCAACGTGCTGATGGATGTCTAATGGTCCTGTACCGCTCATCAATAGCTGTGACGAGATCATGGCGCATGATGTCCCCAAGGCGGCGGCTGCCGTCGTAGCTGTTGATCCAGCGGCCTTTTGGCAATGACTATGAACGGTATCAGCAAGGGTATGGATAACAATAATCTCTTTCCTCCAATTACGCCACTCCAAACGTACCTGCGGTGCCACCAGAATTACCTTGGGCATGGTGCCCAGCTCCATTTTGCGTGCATAGAATTGGAGGGACCACATCGCATGGCGCGAGCATGAAAAGCCCCCATGAAGCCAGTATAGTACGGGGTATCGCTCGCCGTTTACATCACGATCATCGTAGCCCGGTGGTAGGACGACCAGATAGGAACCCTGCGCTCCAGGACCGCGCGTTGGTTGGCTGTAGAGCTCGTAAATAACATTTTCTGGAAGCTCCCACACGTCTGTGTCAATCCACATGTGGTTGTAGCAGTCCAGAAGGTGCTTTGGCGGAGTCCACCGGCCTGTAAAATCGTGGTGTAAGCTTGCTCAACCATTACATCTAAATTCCTGGGGCGACTCACCACCGTATGCGGGGATCGGGGGATAAACTTCGTCTGATTTGTCGGCAACAGTCATTTTGGGTATCCTGGCCTGGAGAAAGCTAAATATGGTGCATTGACTTGATGAACCAAGCAACAGGCCTTATAAATATGGTGGTTGTGATCCGGGGAGGATAAGCCGTAACAACTACCGGAGTGCTTCGCGAATGTCGCCTGTATAGGCGATGTTCGCCAGTTCCCTTTCGACGGTCGCGTGCACGTCTTGGCTCGAGCGACTCTACTCAATACTGCTTAAGACGTTCGTTGGAAAAAAAAAAAAAAAAAAAAAAAGATGAGAAAGGAATCTTTCTTCATTTCCTCAATTCAACCACAGGCCCGGTTTCAGCGTCAAGAATAGCGGCGTGAGTGTGGACAACCCATTCTTGTTCGCCATTCTTCGGCAAACCTTTCACCAATCCACATACCCTTTCCCCTCACTTTATGGTGGAGAAGTCACGTTGTCGATAGCCAAAGGTTCCCTGGGCATGCTATAGAAAGTAGTCGGTCACTCGTCATATAAGTTGTTTTCTCTTATAACTAGTTCCTTGATATACTTGGTGGGAGGATATTATCAGGTATATATTAAGCGGTGCTACTGCGGACACCGTCAGCTGGCCCAAATTGTAGGACCCAGTAAATACATTAGCTTATTATGGGATACATTAAATCATTGGACATAGAATCAGGGGTTTTCTGTGACGTGATGGATGATAGTATAAGAAGAAAGAGTGGCTGTCAGGGTATCAGACTAGGACATGAGCATTTTGGACACGGCTCGAGAGATCAGTTCGCCCGACTAATCTCATCATCCTGGTGATGAGATGGCGCTTCAGGGGCAGTAGTCGTTGTTGGCGGCGGCACAGTGGCTTCTTGTGGGTGCGTGACTGGGGTGGAAGAAACGATCGCCATTTCGGGATCAGCGGAAGTAGAAGCCGGAGCAGCAGCAGCAGCAGCGGTGGGTGCAGAGGCTGATCCTGGCCGCGATTGTGGCGCCACGCTGGGCGAGGGACTGGGCTCCAACAGTCGAGGACCGGGATTCTTTGCTGGCTGCTTGCTAGTCTTGACCCGGGCAGGTGCAGGACCCAACACCGGCGGGTATTTGTACCGGAATCCCCAGACGAAGAAGAGACGCAGCTTAGTCCAGAACCCCATTGCCTTCCACCGCTTGCGAAGGACCTCCCCATCTGCATCGGTACGTGCTCGATAACCCTTCCGGAAAAAGCATAGCAGTAACAGAGTGAAGGGGAGAATGGTCAGTGACCAGCAGACGGGGAGACCGCGACGTGTTTGCCAGCCCATCATCAGGCGGCGGAACCGAATCCACGCTTCCAGGAAACCTAAAATCAACCAGAGGCCAATCCAGCCAAGTGTCAAAATAAGGGTGAGGGCCAACGGGGAAATGCCCACGTAATAATCGTCTGTGAACCAGTTGTAATCGTCGTCATAGCCGTAGTCGCCGTAGTACGAGCTGCCGCTGTAGTAGCCGTTCCCGTTGCTGCCCGTGTAGGCACAGCTGGAAGCAGTGTACAATGAGGTAGGCCGGTTGTACAAGCTCATCGACTCTAGTGAGCTCGTGGGGATCTGCGTCGGATCAACATAGACAATGTCGATGGTGTAGGTCGTGGGCTGAAAAGGCCTCGAGGAATCGACCGAGATCGATGTAGCAACAGCCGTGCGTGGGAGCAGATCCTGGACCTCTGTGGGCGGAACAACCTCGACGGCTGTTGTTTGGGTCCAGCGAGACGAGCAACCGGTGGGCGCTGAATAAGTCATGTTGACAACGAACTTGGTGCTGTGGTAGATATCATCGTCGTCATAGCCATAGCCGTAACCATAGTCGTAATCATCAACCACGGATCCGACGCCTGTGGGGTAAAGCTGTTGAATGATAGTCACATCCTTCTCGGCGTCTTCATCGTCGTTGTAGTAGTAGTAGTAGTTTGAAGAGCCGAGGGAGGTGGCGGTTGAGACGGCCTCAGGCATGGACGTGACGGTGGGAGTGATTTGCTCAACGAGAGTGGTGGTGTATGTTGCATAGTAATGCCGTTCGGTGGTGACCACCTCCTGGTAGTCCGCAGTGACAATCCATGGGGCAGCAGAAACGAAAGAAGACAGTTGGAACAGTAGCAGAAGGGAGAGGACCCCCGAAAACGAACGTGAGGTTGCCATCTCGGACGGACAGCCGAGGAGAATGATGGTGAAGGGAGGGAGCGAGGGAGAATCCGGACGAGGGCAGTCCAGAGACCGTGGTGGCCATGAGTGCTTATCTATAATTACCTTGAGGCTCGAGCCTCATATGACTCCACGTAGGAACTGGTGGAAATTGCTGCATCTTGATAGATTGCCTCCTCGGGTAATTGATTGGCAGGGTTTCGAAAAAGGGTCCAGATTAGAGCCTTTTGGAGGGTTTAGCGCCGGCGCTAAGACTCACGCTTTTTTTTCCTTCAGAATTTCGACAGGGTCCAACAGGGCAGAGTTTGATCCCCAGTCCTCTCTCGCAATTAATTTTGCTCTTGAACGGCTCACACCCTTTCCTTTTATACGACTCTACGCTCAATAACTGTCCACGAATATCATGGACTCAGACAAGAGTCGCGTTATGTTCGGACGCCTTCCTTTTGCGTGGCAAACCTTGCTGGGGGCGAGAACTGTTAGCGCCGTTGCTCTCGACACCCGATCATGTTCGCGGTCGCAAAGAGTCTAGTCCAGGCCACTAGATCAAACAGACTTCGACGGCTTGTTCCGCTAATCCTCCAGCGTTGCCTGGCTGGCCCCTGGTGCCTAAGTCTCTAGCTCTCTCGTGATAGTGCCCCTAGTCGAGAAGTCGGATGGGGTTCGTATTCCTTGCGGTTGAATCCACTCCTCGGACAAGCCACGCCGAGGGTTGAACCCTGTGCTAAAAGAGCCCAGCCAATGGAAAGACTCAATGCGCTGTGTTTTGTCCATGAACAGCCATGAAGCTATGCAGATATTTCATGCCTCCCGATATGCGTGGTCGTCTGCCTGTGGGTAACGAACTCGAGAATTATTGAGCTGCCTTCCATCAGACCACTCTTCCTAGTCGATGTGAAAACTATACAGTTTCGTCATTTCTGAGGCCCTTCGCCGAGGGTTCCTCCACGATTTTTCCTCAATATGAGTGGCGTAACATTCGGGTAAATAGAGTCCAGACTATCGCCTGCGGTCTAGCTATTCTATCGACGAACCCCATCGAAAAGACGGAGCGGCAAGTCGAATTTGCCTTCAGACCATCTCTCCAGAACATTCATGGCTTGAATCTCAGGCCCATGTTGTTCGAGGGCTTAAAACGATGCACCCGGGGATAGATTCATAGAGCCATGTTGTAGAGAGTATCTCAATAATTATCGGTTACAAAGGCATTTGTCGAAAGTGAAGTCACCTGAACTAGTATCCATTGTTGCACGTGTCTTTTCCAAATGCAGTTGTCACACTACTACTGATCCGGTGACCGCAAACCCTTGCACAATGTCCACCATAGCCTCAATGCCAGCGGGACATCGAGCGGCCGGTCTAGAACATCAATTCCGATAGAGAGCTTGACGTTGGCAAAGTGATTAATCTCCGTACACATCTCAGAAGAGAGACTGACAGATGTATGTATGTGGGACTCCATATAGAGGTCCTCATCTCACTGTTGTCGAGGTCCAAATATATTTCGCTGTCAGAGATCTGAGAAGACACATCCGCTGTCACATTTGCCTCGCTGGTGGTAGTAATTGCCACTCCAACCCGAAACGTGAGTTCTGGGCTGATGCTGAGCATTCTAGCAATCTTGAATGCAGATACCGATATGGCATGTAAACATAAAATCCCAGAGCATTATAACGTCTGTTCCACCATCCTGAGCTGCGATGCTTACATCGGCAAAGACTGCTAGGTCTATCTCCAGGTACAACAAGGTCTTGGCAGTGAGTTTGACGATATCACAGTTGGTTTTGCTCCTCAGGTTATGTTCATGCCCAAATTCACTTCTGTATGTCGATGGTGTAGTGGGTAGACTTGATAGAATTCCTGAATCTTCACCGTGAAAACGATGGCCAAGTCGTGGTTTCTGGCAGTCATGATTATGCAGTTGAAGACTGCAAAAATAAAATCTGCTTTATTCCGGATGATGCTCTCAGTTGCTTCTGCGGTGATAGTCTATGAGCTGTTGCTATATGTGAGAGTGCTGACCACATATACTCCCTGAGTGTTTTCGCTGTCACAGTCGCCTATGTGATTGTGAGAATCATATTGTGTGATGATGGCCATTCGGAGATGCTATCTTCATATTCACCTTCACTACTGCAGGTGATTCCTACCGCGTCCGTTGAGCATTCGGCGCTTGTATTGAAGTTGTTGTCGCCGAGGATGACAGTTGGTAATATCATCCCTGCATTTGCCGCAGCTGCGGCCGAGAATTGGCGCCCTGTTCCATAATACGGGGATATGTTGCGTTCTGGCATTATACTACCCAGCACCGTTTCTTTCCTACAGGTAATGGGATACAGCGTCCGGGTTTCGGCTGTGGAAGCCATGGTCAGTGGAAGAGTGACTGAGATCTCAAAATGCGATGCCATATTGGCAGGTTTTATTTTTACGCTATGGAGGTAGCTCCCTTACTGATGGCTGCGAGCATCTGATAATCTCGCCGGTCCTTTGACAAGAGAGTGGTCCTTGACATATCAACACCAAGCATGGCGCTCGGTGCATACGCCACGGAGGGCGAATAGCATTGGCTTGTGTCGGTGCTGTTTTAACATCCTTAGTCCTCTAGAATCATGCCAGATAGGCCATGTTCCAGGGACTTTTGACATTAATGGCGGCCGTGGTCTCAACCCTTGCAGTCTTGGGCATTAAGCTTATTTAGACTTGTTTGTATGGAAGACTAGTGCATGCTATGGCCTTCATCGCATCATTAACCCGCAGAAACGTATCTGCATCAATTGGTCGAATCTTAAGGAGAGAGCACGGCTAGTAGATCAGGCCTCATTCTGCGCTGATTCGTCAACTCGGTGGACCTTGCTGTTACGAACTTCCGCATGTCTGCCTCATGTAGGCAAGTAGTCAGCACGGGTGGAGGGGAAATATTAGCATCACCCACTTAGGAACGGCTCCATGCAAGAGAGCGAGCAATGATGCAACCTGTATTGAGGTTTCTGCATGCTGGTCCTTCTGTAAGGCTGATACGACGCTGTGATGGCCGGGTTCAGAACTTCAACCTGTTGACCAATTCGTAGTTCCTAGAGTGCAAACATTCTTTAACATAATGAATGTAATGGGTATTAATAAAAATCATATTGGCGACAGTAATCGACTGTATGCGACCTAGAGCCCCTAGAGCCTTGAGCAGATATGGATTCTCTACCCCCTCCCTTTTATTGTCTTGTACATCCACGGACTTCTTATCGCCTTGGAGTAACGCCTTCCTTATCTTCAAAAATCATTCCTTTTGGCCTGGGTTGGGATGTTTCAGGGCAGAGACTTCGCTTTTAGACACTAGGACACTGAATTCTGTGACCACATTGTCTTGTGTGACGTGCCTGCTTGCCGGGTAAGGTTTCTCCCGGGAAGGTATAAAAGTCACGAGAGTGGTATTATCTCGAGCTAATATCATAACTTCTATCTGCAATGCATTTGGTGTTCCCTAAGACTCTTCAGATTGATGGAAGCGCTCTTTTCCAACCCAGCATCTTTTTGCTCTCTAATCCAGCTTGATTAGTGATTGCACAGGCTGATTTTTTTGTTTTTGTACACTCTTTCCTTTTCTCTTGTTTTCTTTATACACTTTTTTTTTTTTTTTTTTTTTTTTCCCTCCTTCTTTTCATACTTAATTGAATTTCTATTCTTTTCAGGGCTCGGTTTTGGTATTATGCATTGCTGGGAACGAGTTGGAGTTTTTAGAGGTGTCAGAAATGTTGAACTTCTGCTCACACTACAATCTGTGTACCGGATATATATTTTTAGTATAGCGCATGGAGGTTGGATGATTGGACTCGAGTTTCTTGAAGATACTAATACGACCAGTGGTAACCTCCAAGTCTGACCTAGAGTGCTAATCTCCCTCATATACAGTTGCTACTAGCTCTATTTACAAGAAGAATTCGACCAACTAATTCAGGCTGGCTACTATTACCTCGTTATGCCTTCATGGTGATATTTATGTGACCGCTCGTTTTCGGTCTCGCATTCGTTCCCCGTCAATTCCTGCTTTAATTTCGCCGGGGCGCCCCACTTTCGGGAAGAAAAGCCGGAGGGCCGAGAACAGCATTTCTCTATGCAGAATGAATACATGGTATTCCCTGCCCTGCCTGCCCATCATTCCAAACTCATATCGCCTGATCAGATTAGAGGAATATCCTGCTTCACTTTATATGCAGGAATATCCTATTTTCGTGTCCAGATGAACATGAGAAAAGGACAGGAAACATTCACGAGCGGGACGAGCTGACGTAAGTCCATCGGGCACCGCAGGCTAACTAGTTCAAATAGTGCTGTGCTGCTAGTGTTATGCTAGACATATATTTATGCAATAACATAAAGCGTGATCAGGGACTAAGTGAGTAAGTAGTACAGCTGTACAAAAGCATTATTACAGGGGATTTATGTGTATTAATGGCTGCTCACCCTTTTAATTGGTCCGCGGATCGGAGACAGCCGAGTACTAGTAAATTGTCTGCATTAATATGATTTTAATCTGTCGGGTGTCCCTGACGGTCGGCATGGCTTCCCATGGGTCGTCATGCGATGGGGCTGCTGCCAATTCGTCCTCATCTCGTCGAAAAATTCCTCCCAGCATAAAATCCGGGGCATGCCCTTGATTCCAGTTGTAGATGTAGTCCGCTTACCCCTGTTTCCGTCCTTTTCCCCTCGGCCCCTCCCCCCCTCCCCTCCTTCCCTCCATCTATCTATATCGAGGAGGGCCAAGATGGGTGCATCCGATCCCATCGCCAACCCCGACTTGGAAAAGGGTCAGCCGCCGGCGACTGTGCAGCCCACCGAGCGACACCAGGACAACATCGTGGATTATGATGGCCCCGATGACCCGGAAAACCCATTCAATTGGCCTCGCTGGAAGAAAGGGCGCCAGCTAGTTCTAATGGCATTCAACACCTTCATCACGTATGTCTTGCTGCTTTTCGGTCTTGGCTTTATCATATCCACTTCTTCCGTTCTTGGGCTAGATGGCTAATGCTACCACATCAGACCCTTGGCTTCCTCCATGTTCGCCCCCGGAGTGGAGGATGTGATGATCGATTTTCACTCCACCAGTACCATGCTCGCCTCCTTCGTGGTGTCTGTCTATGTCCTAGGCTATATGATCGGGCCTTTTCTCATCGCCCCGCTCTCGGAGATTTATGGTCGGGTGTACCTCTATCATGCATGCAACATCCTATTCCTTATCTTCACCATCGCCTGCGCCGTGGCCCAGACCATGCCACAGCTGATTGTCTTTCGTCTGCTGGCTGGCACCGCCGGCGTTTGCCCCCTCACCATCGGCTCAGGCACCGTGGCCGACATGGTCCCCAAGGAAAAGCGCGCCGGCATCATGGCCATCTGGGCGATGGGGCCCATCCTCGGCCCCGTGGTGGGACCGGTAGCTGGTGGCTTTCTCGCCGAAGCTGAAGGCTGGCGCTGGGTGTTTTGGGTGATTGCGATCGCGGTAAGTCCAAACTTCCACTTCCACAATCCCTCACCCGCAAATGCATTGACTGTTTTGTCCATAGACCGCAGTGATGAGCATTCTCTGCATGATCTGGTATCGCGAAACATATGCCCCGGTCATTCTGGAGCGGAAAGCGGCCCGGTTACGCAAGGCCACGGGCAATCCCAACCTGCGTTCAGTCCATGACCGTGGCCAACAGGCGCACGAGCTCCTTCTGGTCGCATTGGCTCGCCCGGTTAAGCTCCTCGTCAAATCGCCCATTGTCCTCCTCATGGTGCTCTTTGCCGCCATCACCTATGGCTACTTGTACCTGATGTTCACCACCATCACCTCCATCTTCGAGGACGTCTATCATTTCTCCCCGGGCGTCGCGGGCCTGGCCTACCTGGGATTTGGTGTGGGCTGTCTCATCGGCCTCGTCATCTGTGGTGCCGTTTCCAATCATATTGCGCGCACCCATTCGGCCAGGGGTTGTTTTACCCCCGAATCTCGCCTGCCGCCCATGGTCTTCGGCTGTTGGGCCATCCCCATTGGCTTGTTCTGGTACGGCTGGGCGGCCAAGGCGCAAACGCACTGGATCGTCCCCATCTTGGGCACGGGCGTCTTTGCCATTGGCCTGATGACCGTCTTTATGTCGGCCAGTACCTACCTGGTCGACTCCTACCTCCGCTACGCGGCCTCGGTGACGGCAGCCAACACGGGTCTACGATCGCTGGTCGGGGCCCTGTTACCCTTGGCCGGACCTTCCATGTACGATGCCCTGGGCTTGGGATGGGGCAATTCCCTTCTCGCCTTCATTGCGCTCGTGATGTGCGCGTGTCCGCTGCTCTTCTGGCGGTACGGGGCACGCATCCGGACGCACCCTCGATTTCAGGTGAAGTTGTAAAAGATACCCTAGACGCATGTAGACGAAAGCATTGATAGAATAATATACATAGAAAGTCCTATTTTGCCAGTATTACTCTGAAGTTACCATTCCAGCTTTCTTGTACGTATGAGATGGATGAGTTCACATATATCTACAGTGAGTGGAGTGCTCTGAGTGACCCTGACAAGCTGCATCCCATGCATAGATTGCTAACTGTGGGAGCGGCAGCTGGTTCGTATAGTCTTGTTAGAAAGACTTTCCATCAACCATCTTGTAATTGAGTTTGTCTAGATCACAGTTCTCCAGCAGACGCACCTGCATCAATTAACACCATTTTTGGGCCTTTCTGTAGACCGGTTCACTCACATTGACTGCTATAATAGGAGGCGCGTCTTCTGCCACCAAACGGATGAAACAACTGCTTCCGCAGGTCCCACAAAATTCATGTTTCGCCTGACGCCGGCCAAACTGGTGCGTCCGGGTTGTTTCATCGCTCTCCAGGGTGAAATCTTTGAGAGAGGGGTACACCAGCAGGTACCCATTCTTGCTGCAGATAGAGCAGTTGCAGCTGACGACTGGGTATTCGGACAGTGGCGGTGACAGCGAAAAGCGGAAGCGCACAGCACCGCAGTGGCAACTGCCTTGGTGCATGCTCTGCTCTGATGTTGGGGTGGGGAAGAAGGACATGATGATCGGTCGGTGGGATTGGGAGTTAGTGACTGTCAGAGGGAAGTTTTGCTCTCTGCAACTACCTCGTCTTCCAGGGGATTTGGGCTTCCTTTTGAAGGGAGTTATATTGTGACTCAGACCGAGAACTCTAGTACAAAGTGACTAATTACTCAGAAACTGAGACAATGGCTGTCCAACAAACTTCGCACAGTAAGCAAGGCCATCCCCGCAGAAATCTGACATCAGCGCGGATGACCGCAGCTCTCCCGTTAATAGGCTCATGCTACGGGTTTTCTTTGCACCATGACAGGCTGACTATTTTCAGGGCCCTATTGATTACGTTGAATGGGCGCTTGATGGATCCTTTTATTTTCTATAGAAGTCGCGTATTCCCACATATATTGATCCGAGATTCACCCTCTCTCTCCCGCCGGCAATCAAGTTTTTCAGGCCCCTCTTATACCTTACCACACTTTTGTCTATTGGGTTGGACGCCAAATCCGGTGATGGAATGGATACCTAGTGCTTATATGATAGGAGTTGAATACTACGCATACTCTCAGCCTAAATATGGCCCTTGAAACAAACTAGACTATCCATTGTCTGGATGCTTCACCCAAGGTCAGAATGAAATCATCATTATATTGAACCCCGTACCCAGATCGACGCCGCGTATCCACAAAGGGCTGCACGACTCGTCTGGAACAAGCTATGCATCTCACCGTTCCCCCTTCTACCATCAGTCGCGTGGTACCAATCCGCAGGGAAATTTACACTATGTATACGAGCACCGGGGAAGAGCCACTGATCACGGAAAGCGTTCGGACTCGGTAAAGGCGCACCCGTCGACGGAGCTGTCTTCGGAGCCAAGTCCGACGGGACTTAGCTAGGGGAAGCGCTGTATATGAAATAAAAGCACCACTGCCTCAGGTCCACCAAAACAGTCTCTTTCGTTGACGATAATCATCACTTCACAATGTCTAACTGCCCTCAGTCCCCCCACTCGAACCGCACCCGCACCATCCTCCACGCCGCAAAGAATGGCAAATACGCCGTCGGCGCCTACAACTGGTACCCAACCCCCCGGGCAGTTTATTTCTCAACCACCCCAATACTCTCCCAGTACTAGAACTAACGAATAAACCAAAAGCTATAATACCGACGGCATCATGGCCGTCATCCGCGCCGCCGAGCGCATGCGCAGCCCCGCCATAATCCAACTCTTCCCCTGGACCATGCACTTTCACGGTGCGCACTTCATCCGCTTCGTCGTCGCCGCTGCACATGCCGCTTCTGTCCCTGTCGCCGTGCATCTCGACCACTGCATTAACCCCGAAGATATTGATCTCGCCCTCACTCTTCCCTTTGACTCGATCATGATCGATGGGTCAAGCATGAACGAGGCCGAGAATATCGCGGTCTGCGCGAGCACTGTCAGCAAGGCGCATGAGCGCGGTATGACGGTTGAGGTTGAGTTAGGGCGCATTGAGGGAGGGGAGGATGGGCTTCCCAGCGTGGATTTAGGCAGTGTGTTAACCAGGCCAGGCGATGCGAGGCGGTTCCTGGAGGCGACTCAGGCGGACTTTTTGGCGCCGAGCTTTGGGAACGTGCATGGGGGCTACGGACTTGTGGGAGCGGAGAAATGTTGGGATTTAGACTTGTACGCTACCCTTCCTTTGTCTATTGTCGTTTGGTTGTATGGATGAGGAGGCACTGACTGCATCGATCTTGTGCAGGCTTCAACAGATCCAACAGGCTATCTCGTCCACCCCGCTGGTCTTGCATGGAACGCACCCGGTCTCCGACGAGCTGTTTCTCAAGGCCATTGAGTGCGGCATGAGCAAGGTGAATGTCAACCGGACGGTGCGCGACAAATACACGGAGTTTGTGGCAGAGAACGCAGGCGAGCTGGAGTTGACGACGCTCAAGGTGCAGGCGGTCGAGGTGTATACCGAGTCGGTAGAGAGGGTGATGAAACTGCTTGGCTCGGCGGGCAAGGCTTGAGTTTGCTCGAGATGCAATTGAAGACTTCGGTGTGGGTGTAGAAGGTTAGGACTATAACAGCGAGTTCTGTGTAATTTTCGGACTATTCGTAGGCCCCGACGGAGATTTTTGGCTGCCGAGAATGCATGCATTAAGTAGGGTAGGTACTCCGAAGCATAATCCTACGTTGGGATTACCCGTACTGAAGATTAACGACTATAGGCGAACATCAAAGGAATGAACACCGATAGCCTGTGAAAGATCATTATATATCTATTGTAATCTCATAATATGTCTAGCGTTCACTCGATAGCCGCCTCTAGACAGTAATTGAATGTAAATCTCACAGCACCACGTGACTAGAGCTACCTAAACTCCTACCTAAATCCACTGGCAGATCTATCAACGCGCGGGGAGGCTGTGTCAGCTGACGTTTTACGAACAAGAAAAGGGATATTATGCTGACCTTGCTCCGTCCCTCAGCGAGCCCCCATACGAGAAACTTGGATGCCCAAGCGCGGAATACTAGCAATGCAATGATCGGATCTAACCGATCTTTTCGGTAGCGGTCCGATGGAGTGGCCCGCCCATCGCTGACCGAAGGCGGGGTTAATGACCGCAGTTTGTGGATCTGGGCTGCGCATGCTTCTGAAATACTCTGATGTAGCTGCCCGGCATCGGACGCTTTCGACTAATAGGGACTAATTGCATACAAGCACCATAGAATTGAAAGCCTGGGGAGAGTCAAAATTTTCGTAAACCACAACCACCCTAACTTTTTAATTGAACCAGACATGGGCCCCAACGGTCAGATGGGAATAGACTGCCATTTGGTTCTTTATTACTCTGCCATATAATCGAGTATATATGGTTGGCATGAGATAGTGTATAACATCAATAAATTTGGTCTTCTTTCCATAACTGATAATGATAGATTATTCGTATGATAAGGTACTATGGTACGTTCCCAATAGCTGATAACACAATCGTGATCAACTTCCACATATACTACTTTCTATAAAAGATTGTATACTCCATACATTTTCAGAATTGATCAGGTTTTGAACTTTTTTCTTGAGCTTGAAGTATGATTGACCAGATGTCTAGAGATTCCGAAAGATTCATTGTATGTTCCCAAAAATAATATTGCTACGGGCGTATGAATTGTCTCTTAGTCTTCCATAGCTTCACCTTAGTGCCAGCGGATAATCCGACAGGGGCAGTTCGGGGACCTCGTACTGCTTTGCGGCCTTAGTGAAGAGTGTCTTCTCTGCTTCCATATAAGGAATACCCTCAGCCCGCCTCTGCAGCCCCAATCGGTGCTCCGGCTCTCCAGGAAATAGCACCTCCGAAAATCCAGGCGCCGGACTAACCCCGTGCACCCGCTGCGCAAGGATATCCATTCGAGCTTTGAAATCGTCCGTGCTCATGATGATATCAGGCTTGATAGCAATGAAGCAATGGCCTACATTCTGCGGCTTCGTATCCTTATACTGGTCCCCAACCTGTCCGCCGAACTCAGCTCCTGCCAAAACGCCCGACATAATGTCCATGAGAATCGCGATACCGGATCCCTTCGGCCCCCCAATTGGCGCCATGCTGCCGTTCAACGCCACATTCGCGTCGGTCGTTGGATTCCCATCTGCATCTAGCGCCCAGCCCAGCGGGATAGACTCACCACGACGCGCGGCGCGTCGGATTTTTCCCTTGGCGACAACAGAGGGCGCCATGTCAAGAATATACGGCACTTCCGTATTAGAAGGAGCCCCAGCGGCAAACGGGGAGATACCGAGAAGTGTTTCCTTTCCTCCGAATGGAGGCATCTGTTTGGCAGAATTGGTGAAGACAAGCGAGATCATATTCGCTTTAAGCGCTTGGAGGACATATGTTGCTGCCATGCCGAAATGGTTAGAGTGGTTGACTGTTACCATTCCGATGCCGTATATCTCTGCACGCTTGATAGCTTCGTCCATACCGCGAGTGGCGACAACGAATCCGAAACCGTTGTCGCCGTCCAGATGCGCGACTACCGGGGTTTTCTGGGTGATATTGATGCTTGGCCGGGGGTTGACCCGGCCGTTGCTGACGCGATCGAGGTACTGCGGAAGCCTGGCAAGGCCGTGAGTGTCCTATAATGCGTGTTAGGAGGTACCAGAAGCAAGGTAGTTTACGAATCTTACGACACCGCGAACGTCGGCTAAGACTAGGCATTCTGCCATTGACCGCGCGTCCTCTGCCATGAGGCCTGCTTTCACGAGGAGGGCGGCCGCGAAATCCTTGGCCTTTTCGGGATCGGCATAATATTGTGACTGGTTAGAGGAAGACATTTTGGGATTGGAGCACGAGAAATGGTTAGCCTAAATGCCCAAGCTTTAGGGGCTTGTTGRAGTAGATTTATAAAGCTGCCAACGTCTGAAGGTCCGAGGATCGGATGAGGGCTTGGTCGGTTAAACGCCGACGCTCACCCCACTCGTGATTTTACGGTAATACACCGGATGGGACAGAGTGCAGTAAGCTGAGACCTGCATTCTTTACATAATTCTCAATGATAGCTGTCTCTAAAATATGTTTGACCGTGAAAACAAGAACATGTGCTCGTCCTCGGGCGCAACTTCGAAATCAAATCGAACCAGGTCCTCCTTGTATGGGAACATATACGTGCTTGTAACCCTAAACACAACGACCATATTAGCAGCTTCCCGGACACTGACGTAGATTCCCGCTCACCAGTGGTGTTCCTTGCTTGCCTGATATTTTTCCAAGTCTGCAAGCGACTCATGGAAGCTCAGAAGTGCAAACTCGAACCCCTTACTTCGTTCAATAGGGTCGGTCACAGATGGCCCTCCCACTACCAGTCGATGTCCTTTCACGCAGTCCAGATCTTTAAGTTTCTTGAGTTCTCTAGCGAAGGTCTCTTTATGTTCCGCCGTTACTTCGGAGCGGAACTTGAACATCACTGGCATCAACCAACTTTGTTAGCTCATGATGAAGCGAATCGAATTGAACCAGTGTACCCATATGCACGATTGTCATTTTGCTTTCTTTGCAGATATTATGGACGACGCTCTATGCCTTGACAGATAGAATCTGAGATCTCGGGTAGGGTTCAGCCAATACTGAAGAATAATAAATAAAAATCGAATGTACTATTACAGAAGACGCGTCCCGGTCACTGACCTCTCACGCAGTAGGAGAAGATCACCGCATCTGTTCGGCATTTTGCCGTTCGCCTTCGGGCCCGAACAGCCCCATGCGGCCGCCATGGCTGCTATCAGAACACCTGGCTGGAATTGCCGTCTATCGTACTAAGAGATATGCCAAGGCTAGTATAAGCTGGAAGTGCTGCTCAGGCGGGTTGAAGTGCGTTCCCCATGGGGTTTGGCTGCTTGGCGACCCCGTGGGGAAAGGGTATACTTGATAACGGTTATCCCATGTAGCGAAGCTTCTGCGACAAGGGCCCTTTCTGACATCGTTGCAATCACAAAAATACCAGAATTTCTCCTTACAACCCATCCCATACGTACGTAGTTCTGTCACCAT